CTTCCTTCCTTCCTTCCTTCCTTCCTTCCTTCCTTCCTTCCTTCTAGAACAACTCCCATGTAGCTTCCCTTTCACATATAAGAAGAACAGCTACAATTCATGCACCAGGGATGATACCACAGAAAATGTATTGTGGTGTGCCACAACTCCTGACTATAATACAAACCATAAATGGAAACTATGCGCCGTTCAAGGTAAAGGAAAATTTTGTATCACTCTTGTGAAACAGAACTGCATCTTCTCCCTGTCTGTCCCATTGTTCGTTATTCCTACAAACATGATAAGAAGATATAAGGTCCTCTGTAATCCATCCTAAATAAGGCTGAGAAGAAAATATAATCAAAATCATATATGGCTTAAAGTTATAGAATACCATGAACTGCTAGTCCTCCTTTGGCCAGTATTGCAGTGTTGCGGTCCTAACAGTGGCATAGCCTCTGGATATCCTGCAAATTGGTGACTATATTTTCTAGGTAAAGAAATAAGGACATTTTAAATAGAAGCATGACAGAATGTGTAGGTAGAGCTTTAAAGAGACGTATGATATGATTCTCTAGGAAGCTGCAAGAACGTGAAAATGATGGCTACCCAATTTTCTGTTGCTGTGATTTAGTCAATCCAACCTCTAGGAATGATACTGTTAGAAGGGACCAGCTAGTATCATTTGGTGCCTGAGCTGTTGTTGACATTATATTACTATTATTATTTATTAAATTTATATGCTGGCTGACTCTCAACAACTTTAGGATTAGGGTCACAAGTAAAAACATTAAAAACAAGAAAAAAAGACAATAATAAACAAAAATAAAGAATAGAAAAGGGCAAGGATGACAAAGCAAAATAAAGCAAACCAAAAAAAGAGACAAGAACAAAAAAGAAATGAACCTATATAATCAAAAGGGGACTTCACTCACCCTTGCCAAAGGCCTGGGTGAATAGCTAGATCTGCAGGGCCTTTCAAAACACCAGCAGGGTGGGGGCCATCTGGATCTGGGGAGGAATCTCATTCAGGTGCTGCAAAGAGAAGGTGCACTTCTGAGGTCCAGATAGATGGCATTGTTTAGTCAAAGGTACCTGCAGTATGCCAACCCTCCAATAAATGTTCCTTCCTATCTGTCCACTGGCCCATTCAAGTCAAACCAAGTGAAATTATTTTGGAAGAGGAGCTATAAAAATCTCCAGTGCTCATTTCTCCACTATTGCTGTAAAAACACACTAATGACTAGGAAGTCGCCAACAACTTCCTGCCCTTTCATGAGATATGAAATCTGTTGCCTGCAGTGGCCTCTGCATTCCGCTTAGAGTGTCTGAGAATGGAAGAGCCAAATTCAAAACAGGCATGAATTATGTTGGGCCCTGCACCCCTGTCAGCTGCCGAAAGAAGCTGGGTCCTGCTACCATTCTTGCCCATTGCTGAATCTTGGTCTTTCAAATGAAGGATAAATCTCTCTCACAAATTTCCTCTAGGATTTGTTTTAAGCTAAAGAGCAGTACAAAATTTTTGTTGAACTGTAGATTGTTTATTATGGCACAGGAGGCAGCAAAAACAAACCTAAAAGGGACGGGGATGCAAATTAGAATATATACTCTATGTGATTGGAATCAGCAGCAAAATATTTGATTGGATATAGCAGCACATCATGAATTTAGTGAGGTAATTATGCTGGAACTACCATATCTATCTTCTCTATGGTCTATCTACCTATTTATTTAGACCATTTCTCTATGGTCTATCTACCTATTTATCTACCATATCTGTCTATGGTGGAACTACCACAACTATGGTAGTTATACCACAACTATGGTAGTTATAC